CAGCTGTTACAGTATTTGCAATTGAGTCGAAACTATCTAGCTGGAGCCACACAAGATTAGAGGCCGTTGAAAAACAGATCGTGCTCGACGTGTGAAATGAAATTAAAGGCACCCCTCGTCGTCGACGCTCGAATTAGGCGCCGGGGAAGATGTTTGACAGGCTACTCTTACACCTTTCAAATCACACTGGCAAACTTATTATATACTATATAGTAAGTATAGGTAATTATATATTCCAACAAACCACGCAGCATGTTATTGGGCTCGATCATGAACCAGGATTACGCGCGCATGCATGGATTAATAATATATGGAAGTAGCGCTTGCTAATCGGCCTGCGTGGCGGCCCGCCATTTGTCGCCCTGGCGTGGCAGCACAGCAGGCTAGTGGTGCTGGTGGCAAAATACTAATCAAGGCTCGGTCGGACGGTGTGTGTGTGTGTGTTGATGTAAGCGATTAGCTAGCAAAGTTGTGGGTGATTACAATCCTATAAGCACGGCTGCGAGTCTCATTGGATCGGAGTCCGGAGAATTATATTTGATGGGATGACCTGTGCCCGCCTCGGTGGAGCCTCCTTGTACGTACGCGCCGACCATCTTTAGGCGGCCGGAGTGCCGGACTAACGACGGCGTCCACGACGTCGCTGTGCGGACACGCAGCAGACACTGGGCCTGGGTCCCGCTCCCGCTCCCGCTCCCGCCTGCAGCGACACGTTGGACGGCGCGTCCGTACAGCGCAAGTCTTGTACGCATATATGGGCAGCGTGAGGTGTATGTAGGAATGTTTTGACTTCCTCTCTTCCGGCCTCAGGCTCTCAGCTGTTGTCTGCCTCAGTTCATCTTTTTTCACACACACACACACACACACACACATATAGCCCCGTACCGTACATCACTTTCCAATATATATAGAAAAAGGATCGGACTCGGAGCAATGGAAAAGCACTAATCCAATCTTGCTCTCCCTCTTAATTATCTCTGTGTAGTCCTTAGGGAATAATAAAATTAGCTCATATATATGATTAAGCTATAATCTCTGCGTAGGCCGGAATTATAATTAATCTATTCCTTTTTCTAAAAGAAGATTAAGCTATAAAACGATTATGAACAAGGAGTCCACATCTTCATAAAGAGGATGTCTCAATGTTGTCATGCATGACGATGCACCTTTATTAATTTGGCTCCACACCAACTTTTTGGTTCGTGGAAATCAAACCATATGGCAGTTTCCAGATAATTTCTACACGTCAATTAACAATACTTGTCCGGAAATAAGCCCTAATTAACGCAATGCTGGCTTCTTATTACTACATATCCCCGTGTCCGTGTGACGTGATTACACAAAATAAACATATCAAACATTCTTCCCCGTACAAGTTTTTTATATATGTGCATGACGTATATGAAGCACAAGATTTTCCATGCATGCGGCTTGAGGCATGGCCGGATCAACGGCGGCCTTGACCGCCCAAACTTGGCGCGCATGCAGTGTACGCATCGCATCGGGTCCGGTCCAACGCCACGACTCGTTCCTCGGTTGCTTTCATGCCCTGCTGCCAACCACCACAAGCTCCATTCCATCCACTATGCTATGCATGGTGTAGTGCATGAATGGTCCAGTCCATTAATTATGGATCGGAACTGGATCAAGAGAAAAAACAAACATACAGAAAAGGTTATTAGGCCTTTTCTGCATGTACTGGTGTATCGAAACGCAACGTTGAACACTGTTTTATCGAAAATTTGGCACACGTGCAATCAAACACTACTTTAAAGGGTATTTTAATTTTTATTTAAAAGAGTACAGTACTTTTAAGGTTCGGCTGTGCCTGTTGCCGGCCTCTGTCTCCAACTTTTGTCCGAAAAGCGTTTCTATAGCGCATTGCAATTTTGTGAGGCTTTACACATGTTTATGCTACAAACAGTAATCAGTGCTCCGTTAAGGGTTTGTCTGGCACAGTTTCATCGTAAGCTTCACGAGTTGTTTGAAATTGTTTTTTTTTGGGTCCAATAGGTCTTTTGCAAACAACTTCTTCACCAATGAACTCCTTAAATTATGCTCTCACATAGGAATATGATGGGATAAAGATGAAAATAGTAACTTCTTGTAGCTTCACCTCACACACTCGTAGGTTCTGTGTGGGATTTTCTGTGAGAGCATATTTTCAAAAAATTTATATGCCGGGTTGTTTTGCCAAACGGTTCACTAAAACAGCTTTAGTTTTTCTGGCAAAGCTGCTTGTAGACCTAAAGAAAAAAAAACATGAATTCATTAAAGCTGAATTGTGCCAAAAGAGGCCTCAAACTGCTCCGTGGGATGTACTATGTTTACAATGACATTATCCCCTTCGACATAAATGGATTATAAGTTTTGAGAATACTCCCTCCGTCCCTATCTTAGTGTCATTCTCATATATCAGAGGAGTCAAACGCACTCAACTTTGACCAAATATATACAAGAGATTACTAATATTTATAGTACATAACAAATAGCACTGGATTAAAAATTAAATTAGATATTTTTTATAATACACTTATACTAATATTTTGTATAAAGCCAGTAAAGTTTGATTAGCCAGAAAATCTATCTTGAAAAGAGAAGGCGCGGTCCTGAACCTAAGCCGAGTCCATTCTAATATTTTTTTCTGAAAGTGGTGAGTTGTATTATTTGAATATTATTGATGCCATGTCTCCTTGCATATAAAAAATAATTTTTTTTATTGAAAACACAGTGCTCAACATTAATCTGAAGGATTTATTTTTCTGAAGTTTGGTCCTAAATGCGGGAGATTCTGAGATCAACCAAGGACTAAGATCCTTTGACCACGAAAAGAGGCACCGCCGCCTAGGGTAGAGCTACCACCACATGTCTGCTCCTCGTTTTGCCGTCGTTTCCATCGCACCTAGGGCCCCTCTCCTTCTTCCTCTCCGGTGCATCGGAGACAACAGGGAAGGGGACCCATCCTTTTCCCACAGTTTTTTTTCAGTGTCTTAGGGTTGAGTCTAAATAAATTTCTAGTGAAATCAGTTGATTTTCAGTCGGGATCATTTGTTTTGCGATGACTTCGGTGGTTGCCAAGACGAGATCGCCGTTATAGGCGTTGATTTCATCGGCAGACGGCCAATTTTTAGCCTTTATCTGCAAGGGGAGGAGTGCTTCTAGGAGCCCCTACGAGGGCAGTGACTCCGGGTCATCGATCTCATCGTTGATGGTCGCGAAGAGGAAATCAAGGTCTCTAGGTGATGAATCTTCATCATATGTCGTACCCGACGATGCAACTGCCAATATTCTTTTAGCGATTTAGGTGCGCTTTGTGCTGGTTCAGTAGCATTGGATTTTGTGTTATGTCCAATGTTTTAGGATTGGTCGTTGGATTCGGAATAAGGGCTGCACTTTGGCTCAGGCGTTTGAGGGAAGCCATTAGGGAAGAAGGCGATCCAAGAATCTAGATAGAATATTATGTATTTTTTATTTTAAAATTTTTCATGTGTAATTTGGGGATGTATTGTGCTAAGATTTTTCGGTTAGGCTAGCGCCCGGACGTCCGGACGGGGGCTAGCATTCGGACACCCACGCTTGCCGCGCCTGCCTGCACCCCGCGTAGGCATGCTGTTGCGCCCCCCTGCACGCCAGCGCTTGCTTCACGTGGGGCACCGCACCGCTTCATTTCCCACACCTGCACGCGCCCACGTGGGGCCGCATCTCGATCTGCGCCTGCACCGTTTCCCGCGCCTACTGCTCACGCTCGCTCCACACCCACGCGCATGCAAGCGAGCCCAGCAGCTGCAACTGGCGACTGCGTCAGATGGGTCCCACTTCAACATGTGCAACGCCAAATATACTTTCACAACATCTAGATGAAACACTTACAACACACGTCCGAAAATAGTTGAAATACTTGCAACATACATCTGAAACACCAGGAAAACGCATGTGTAGCCCTTGCAAAACATATGTAACATCCAAATGAAACATTTGCAACATATGTGTGAAACATATGCAACATCAAGATGAAATACTTGCAACATATGTCTGAAACATAAACAATATCCAGATAAAACACTTGCAACATACGTCCGAAAACACAGATGAAACATTGGGAACAAATCTTTGCAACATACATGTACAACCATTACAACATATGCAATATTCCGATCTACTCTTGCAACATGGGCTTTCAACGTAATATCACCTTGCTACTTGGACGAATGGAGCTCGTCATTGTGGAGCTCGACACCGACGCGTAGATCGACGGCCGTGCATGGAGCTCGCAGCGGCGCGGGGGTTGGCGGGGCGCGGAGCTCCGGCGTGGGCAACTCGCCGGCAGATGGAGTACGGCCGTGGCAGGAGGCGCGAGTCCGGTTGGGGGCACGCACAGATCTCACGCAGCCCGCCGCGTGGAGCTCCACCCTATCTGGATGGCCTCTCGACACTCGCTAGCAGCTCACACTGGCGGTAGTTAGACAGAAGGGTGGGAAACGAAGGGGTGACTGTGTGGCGGGCGGCGTGAACAGGGGCGCGCGGCGCGCAGCGCTGCTGAGCAGTCCGGTCCGTCTGAACGGACCAACACCCTACAGGAAGCATTGTCGTTTAATATAATTCTCCTTCTCAATGGAAAAAAACAAGGACTAAGATGTTGGACTAGGCGCTAATTGAAACAAGCATGTGTTCCGGACTAATGATTGGACAACTTAAAGCGTGTTTTGGTTCAGGTAACAGTGCCGTGTGCAGCCACCGGGTCATTCCACCGGCAAGCTGAAGTCGCGACCCGACTTGTGCTAACGCCGTATGGGGTCACTGCCCAAAGCGAACATGTTGCGACATACTCTATACACATATGGAGTGCTTGATATTCTGTTTTGCTATCAGACACACCTATGGTTTCATCAAAAGTGTTCTATATATGAGCTCAAAAAAGGTAGAGCACTAGTAACCAAATTTTGGCACTACATGATCTTAAGACCCTTCTTATGCCGATAACTAATAAAACCTAAAAAAGAATGAAGACTACCTCTAGCTGTATGTTCCCCTGTCCAGGATGAAAGTGTTAACAGCAAATTAAAAGGGCGTTTATTGAAAAGAGTGGTTGGGCAAGGTGTAAACTGGAAGAAGATTCAATTCAACCATTTGAAAGCTGCAGCAGCGTTGCAACATCAGCACTGACCGAAGAGTCTTGCGTTTCTTGGGGAACGGGGAACGTTTCGCAGGCTGCTCCTGCATGTTTCCACATCTCTCGGGAGGAAGTGATGGGGCCATTCAGCGATGTGGGTCCCGTCCTAGATTTCGTTATATATATGAGAGAGCAGTGGCAGTTCCCTCCTGACTCCTGACTTCCTGAGGTTGCAGTACTACATCAGCAGCGAGCGAGAGCCAAATAACATTCCAGCCAATTCGATCCAAACGATTCTCTCAGAAGGTCCCAAGATTTCAGCTGTTCCTGTTCTTTAGGAGAAGGTTGGGTTCCCACCACGAGACCACCGCCAGGTAAGGAGCATAAGTCCTTTGATTTCTTTCTGCTCTCAAATTTGGTGTACCTTTGCTCTTATTAGATTGGGGCTTATCTTCTTGGTTGGAACCGGAATTAGTCTATGATGAGCTGCTAGATGCAGAGGTAATATTGGGAGTTTAGGATCTCTACCTGCTATGTAGTGTCTGAAGGTTGTCGTTCTTGAAGTGCTAAATGAAGAGCTTTGAATCAAAAGTTTCGTTAGCAATGACGCTGGCCTGATGATGTTCTTCAGGTTCATGAATCCTACCCAGTTCAATGCAATTGAGGCTGTTTCTTTCACGTTTTCAGATGCAGCCATCCTTCCTCGCTGACTTCTTTTGCCATGACAAGAACTGCAAGCATGTTTATACTAGAATTCTAGGCATGGCTGCTATTGTGCGTCTAGCTTTTTGTTTATACCGGTGTGGTGCCAGCCGTGGAATTTCTTGGCTGCCTTGGCCTCGAGTCGTTTCCGCCGGCGGCTTGTTGCCAGTGTTTGTTTGGTTCACCTCATTCTTCCCTCTGACTTTGACTCTGTCACCAGAGCAGAGAGCCCACCGCTTCTCATTTTCCACCTGCTGAACCTGAATTTTTCATTTCTGAATGACTTTGTTTTTCAGGACAGGTCTTCAGTTTATGGGATTGTACCACAACGAATGGGCTGAAGCTCTTGGTATCGAGATCTCCAGCGCGAGGGCCAAGGACGGCACCATGGTGGTGAACAGAACCTCCCTCTCCAGCGGCAAGCTGATGCCGTCGCTGAGCTTCAAGCTGTGGGAGGCAGAGGCGGTAGTCGCTTCCATGGACCACGGCAGCAGGCCGAGCCAGGTGGACGTCGTCGACTGCTGCCTGAGGGACTCGGCGGATGAGTTGGTGTTCATGGCTTCTCCGACGACCCCGTCGAGCCCGCGGGTGTCGTCCAGCCCCAAATGCGAGCTGGACGCCGCGGCAGTGAAGCTTCAGAAGGTGTACAAGAGCTACCGCACGCGGCGGAACCTCGCCGACTGCGCCGTGGTCATCGAGGAGCTGTGGTGGAAGGCGCTGGACTTCGCGTCCCTCAAGCACAGCTCCGTCTCCTTCTTCAACGGCGGCAAGCCCGAGACGGCGGCGTCGCGGTGGGCGCGCGCCAGGACGAGGGTGGCCAAGGTACCAGCTCGCGCCACTTGACAGCTGTTCTTGCATCGAAATGCTCCTTGAGATGCTTTTGAACCCCATCGAAATCGCAGCTGCTGACGCGAGCTTTGTTTGGTTGCTTTTGTTAGCTTGGCAAGGGGCTGTCGAAGAACGGCAAGGCGCAGAAGCTGGCACGGCAGCACTGGCTCGAAGCTGTAAGTCACATGCTACATAACCTAGGACATATACTATAAACAAGCAATCTTTTTTAGCTCCAGTAAGATCATTAGTTTACTAATGCTGCTGCTGCTTTTGCATCTGTGTGTTGGCTGGCAGATTGACCCGAGGCATCGGTATGGGCACAATTTGCACATCTACTATGATGTCTGGTCCAAGAGCGAGAGTACAGAGCCCTTCTTTTATTGGTAAGTGAACCTGAATTCACTTGTTGCTACTCCATTTGAAATTTTGAATTTGCCATGTTGGAAATAAGTGAGACGAATGTAAATATTTATATGGTTTTGTTTATGAAATGTACAGGTTGGACATTGGGGAAGGCAAAGAAGTAAACCTTGAGAAATGCCCTAGGAGTAAACTTCAGAGCCAATGCATCAAGTACCTTGGACCAGTAAGCCCCTCATCAGTATAATAATGTTTTAACTAATGATAGAAGTTTTTAGCACTATGTTTAACAGTTAGTACCCTGAATATATAATTGGATGGTGAGCTCATCCTTGCTCTTCTGTTTCTTGCTATGAATTGCAGAAAGAGAGACAAGAGTATGAAGTCGTGGTGGAGAGGGGAAAACTTGTGTATAAGAAAAATGGAGCTCTTGTGCAAACTTTGGATGATTCCAAGTGGATTTTTGTCCTCAGCACCACCAAGGCACTCTATGTTGGACAGGTAGACACAAATTTCAGTTAACCAGATTGCACTTTGTATTTGCTCCTACACGGCGACGAATGCAATTTACCAAATTCGTTCTTGTTTAGAGATAAAACTAACATTGCTTCCTGCATTAGTTCTGAAGTTCTTGTTTGGTCTATGAGCGCAGAAGAAGAAAGGCTCATTTCAGCACTCGAGTTTCTTAGCTGGTGGAGCCATAACATCTGCCGGAAGATTGGTCGTCAAAGAAGGAATCCTCAAGGTATGTTCAAACTTCATACAATCATATTGAAACTGAAACCTTTGTTTCGATCGTACGATGGAAAATGGCGCTGCCCATTCAGAAAATTAAAGTAACTGACGGCGTTGCTTGTATTTCTTCAGGCTATATGGCCGTACAGTGGTCACTACCTTCCAACTGAAGAGAACTTCAAAGACTTCATCCGCTACCTTGAGGAGAACGGTGTCGACCTCACACATGTCAAGGTAAATGTAAGCAAATAATCACTTGATAGTTTCTTCATAAACAGTGTCAATGATCACTGCAAGATTCAGAACTGACATATGGGTGTTACTGTTATGCGCTCCTTCAGAAATGCCCACTTGACAAAGACGATGAGTACCCCTTGCTGAGCAAACCTGACGCTCAGCCCAACGCCGCCGTCTCGAACGGCACTGACGGAGCAGAACACAACACGGACTCTGCAGCCATGGATGAACATACGAGCGAATCCGAGGCGGCTGACGGCGACGTTCACCAGGCAATCCGTGACGGCAACACGAGTGAAGCAGAGGAGGACGACACCGACACCCACGCTCACACCGACATCGACACCGAAGAGGAGGCGCAGCAGCACGAGGTGCCTCTGACACCGTCGAGTGCTGCTGCTGGTGCTGACCTCGGCAAGAACCACTTGACGTGCCGGTGGTCGACGGGCACGGGCCCCCGCATCCGGTGCGTCCGGGACTACCCGCAGGACCTCCAGTCCAGGGCGCTGGAGCACGTCAATCTCTCGCCGAGGCTCACCGGCTCGCCGTCGAGGAAGAGGGACCCGGTTCCTTCGCCGCGGCCCAGCCCGGCGATGATCCTGTCTCCGAGGCTCGCTTCCGTCGGATTCCAGCCTCAGACGGCGGTGTCCCTCACGCTGCCTGACTTCAAGAGGAGCAGGTTGCAGTGAGCAACTCTGTTCTTGTTTCATTGTTTCACTAGGCGATCAGTCTTGTTTCATTGTTTCACTAGGCGATCAGAAGAATAACTAAACTGGCCAGGCTGTTTACTGACAGGCCAGTGATCTTTTTTGCTGTTAGGTTAATTAGCAGATTACTTCGTTTTTTTTCTGTTCATTGCATTATTGATGGTAACAATTTTCGGTTGTACATACCATTTGTTATTCTTTTGTTACATGTATGTATGCAAAGAGTGCATGTACATTGCTTAAGATTAAAAGGAAAACAAAAAGGCTACTTTTAGGCTTATTTGGCACAGCTCCGCCCCAGTGGTAAAGTAGCTTTTGATGGCTTTGATTGAATGAGCAACTTTACTAATAGAGCTAAAGTTATATTGGTGAACTGTTTGGTAAACCAACTAAACGTGGTAGGAAAAATGAATAACGTGAGAGCCTCCGTGCGTCAGCTCGTGAAGCGGGTGCAAGTTGGTTTCTTTTAGGGCCCGTTTGGTAGGGCTCCAGCTCCTCAAAAACAGTTCTGGCTCTGGATCTTGTGCTGGAGCAGATTCTCTGGTGGAGCTGGAGCTATTTTGGGAAACCGTTTGGCTGAACAGCTCCATGTGTCTGTTATGAATGGCTAAGATTGGAACAATGTCGAATATGCCCCTGCATGAATAGCTCGCCATGTTTGTTACGTGCTTGCAGATGTATTTATATTTCAGTGTTTTTAAATTAAAAAAAATACAAACTATTGACAAGCAATAATTAGTGGCTTGTTTATATTGCAAAGTCATGGCCCACCTATTACAGGCGTGTTAACAAAAGTTGACATATGGACACCAGAATTCTTGGTACAACCAAACACACATGCTCATGATCTAGATTGGTAGATTGCTCTTGCAAGGTCATCTCGAAATTTATCCATGTTCCTGTCACTCGATTCTGAAGTTGACGTATCACCAATATTTCTGATAGGAACATACTTGCTGTACCGTGAAGGTATAGTGGGCACATAATCTGGATTACGGTCACATTTACTAAAAAGTTTGTCATCCACACTGTTCTCACGAATGAAGTTATGTAGACACATGGTTGCAGCAACGATCATCTTTTGCTTCTTGATTGGGTAACTCGGCATTTTGAGAAGGATTCTCCACTTTATTTTCCACACACCAAATGAGCGCTCCACCACATTCCCAATACTTGAATGAAAATAGTTAAACAACTCTTGCTCACCACTTGGAGAAGGACCCTTCCTCCAGTCTGGCACATGATACCTTTGACCCTTATATGGTGCTAAGTATCCAGGTCTATTTGGATATCCCTGAATACAAATGTGGAAAATTTGGAGATATTATGAGCTGCATGTAAATTAATTTGAAATCAATTACGAAAAAACTAGGATCCATCTGTGCATACCTTTGGGAGGGTGTGGAAATATGTCATGATCATTCTTAAGTGCATGAAAGAGCACACTAGTGTCATGCATCGATCCTGGCTGCCCAATAGATGCATATGTGAACCGCATGTCAAAATCAACAATAGCAAGAACATTTTGTGTCGGTTTGTTACTTCGAGCAATGTATCTTATGAGGTCATTCGGAGGAGGTGTTGCTGAGATGTGAGTACCATCTAGTGCTCCAATGCAATCTTTAAAATGTGGCATCATCCTTCAATCATTAGTGATCCTAGAGTGAGTGGTTGGGAAATTTGGATCGATCGGCCTGATGTAGTGCTCAGACATGGACACCAAACAGATCAACACATCCTCAAATTTTCGACTAATTGTCTCTCCAGAATGCTTGAATATACCATGTAGAGCACTATTGGACATACCATGCCCACAAACTACCAGAAAAATAGCAAGAGATTCTATGGTATTCATGTGAATAGATGATTGGAGACCATATTTACTCACTAACAAGTCATGCAGCTGATAGAACAATGTCGCACTCATTCTGAACATTTTTTCACTTCCTCCTGGAGTCGCCAGTATCTCCATAGTCCATGCAAATCCAGACTGTGCAGAAGTTCTAGCTTCATTTTTGTCAAGATAAGTCATGTAGTACTTGGCAGCAATAAGGGCAGTAGCAAATACATTATTTTGATTGGAACGGAACAATGACATAGCCTTTGAAATCTGCTCATAATCATCAGAACCACTGTCATCCGTGTCAGAACCAGAACAATCAGATCTGTACAATTGTAGCAAACAAAGGATGCATGGTCTTAGTACTCAAATCATTACAATTGTAGCAAACAAATAAAACATTGTCTTAGTACTCAAATCATTACAACTGGAGCAAACAAATGAAACATAAATGGAAGGATACATGGTCCTGCAATATAAATAGAAGGATAGATGGTCCTGCAACATAAATGGAAGCTATGCTCTACTTGGGGACATCATTTCTAGTCATCCACTCATGTCTCCTCATCAACCAATCAAACCTATCCTCGGGAGTCCCCAAAGTCATGAACATCTCTCTCTCGGCCTTCTTGGTAAAAAGTATGGTAGCAGTGAAATGCTCATTTGTTCTTGGAACAGCACCACACTCCTTGACTAAGGCCATGACTTCCTGTATGGAACATGCAGGGTTTTCCTCCCTCTTTGCAATGGACTCACAAGAAACAGTTGTCCTCTCATTCATCTCAATAATTTTGCCCATCTGTTCTTGGAACCAATGACCTGTAGTTGTCTTAGGTTTCTTTCCTTTGTTGGTAACTGCCCCTCCGCTTCTCTTTCCAGTCACACTAGTTGGTGTCACCGCCTCCGGTTCACTGTCATCATCGATTTTCTCTTCACCTTCTTCATCAGCATTGATGGCCGAATCCTCGCATGACGGGCTCACTTGGGAAGGTGGTACACCACTAGAGGCACACCATGCATCATCTCCTGTGTTACGAAGATCTTCAAACATAATTTCCAACTTGTCTTCATTCTGGAGGCCTCTGTGCCTGAACCGCATGCAACCCTTGATTTCCTAATTCACAAAACGCAAAATAATTATTGGGTGCACAGTCAGAGGTCATCAAATGTTACAAAGGCACTTACTTTTGACATATGCTTCCACCAACTCTCTGGCATTTCAATATTTTTTTCCCTGCATCCCATCCAATGCCTGTTTGTTGGCAAGCTTCTTCCAAACATTATATTCGCCTTTCAATTTCTCCCATTTATTCTTGAATTGCCTTTTATTGTACTGAATCCCAGTCCGATCTTTGAACCTTTGTATTACATTCTTATACCCGGTCTTACTCAAATGAGTGTTCTCACGGTTCCTTTTCAGAACTTCATCGGCAAAAATGTCACACAATATACTAGTATTGTCATCATCCCAAACAGCCTCACTGTTGTGCGCAAAATATGTTCATAAGATGGTGGCAAGGTACTTATTACGACTATGCAAATATTTTCATCATTAAAGCTAAAAGTTACAGAATATATACTACCATACTAAACATGCATAAATGATCTGTACAAAAGGAATACGACTACTACTACACGATGCAGGTGTATACCTTGAATTAGTGAGATCAACGGTGTCAGATCCATGGGCAACAGGAACTGGCGGCCTCTGTGCACGGCTACTTGTCCCACCTCGTCGCCGAGCAGAGGCACCACGAGCCTGTGATGTGCCGCCAATCTCCTCACGAACACCTCTAGGATCTTCAGTTGTCCTCCAATCCGGCCGAAAAGTTGCGGCAGCTTGCGCATAAAAATCCGGCCAATCCCAGCTACCACTGCCACGAACAGCGGTCGACACACCTGAATACGGACCAGAAAACGAAGGGCGCAGACTGGTTTCTTCATCGCCGCTTGGGTTGCAACGCCGCCTGCGGGCGCGCCCGGCCACGGGCCGCCACCTACGGCCGCCCTCGGCAACGCGCCTAGGGTCGAGCCTGGCCACGCGCCACCGGGCGGGGCCGGTCCCTGCCAGAAGCCGCCGCCCGGCCACGCACCAACGCTCGGGGTCAGTGCCAGCCAACCAGGCTGTGCGCCAGCCCACGCGCCACCTCCTCGGACGCCGCCCAGGGTCACGCCTGGCGGCCAGCCGACGGGGCCGGTGCCCACGGCGCCGCCTGCAGCACCCGCGAGGAGAGCGGAGAAGCCTCCAGCCGTTGCTCCTCCCGAGCCCGCCGCACCCATGGATCCATCTTCACCGCCACCGGATCTGTCGGTCTCCAGAACCCCGTTGCCATCTTGCCTCTCGTGCTGCAGTGCGTCCATGGAGGAGGCGGATGGAGCTCACCTCCAGTCCGTGCGGCCTTCAGTCCGTGATGCAGAAAGAGATAAGGCTTGGTGGGGAGACAATGGCGGATTGCTGTAATTTCTTGAGAACTTTAGGGGCAAAGGGGTACCATGTCTGCTGAGTCTGACACAGGAGCCGGTGGAAGCTCGTTTTTTTTGGCTCCGATGGACCTCACTCGTCTGTGAGAGCGCAAAATACAGGGATTCTTCGTGGGAGCACCCCGGCCTGTACCCCTTTGGCAGCAGGAGCCAAAAAACAGCTCCAGGAGCTGGTGTAGAATCCCTACCAAAGGGGCCCTTTGCTTCAACGCACGCACCCCCAAGTGATAGTCATTTTTTCTGGGACTTCAAATTGAAGCTGAAAGAGAAGTACCGCTTTGGTTATTCAAAGCTAGAAAACAACTTTAAAAGCGGGTATAAAATCTGTGTCAAACGCCCCGTTTGTTTATAGAAATGTGTTGGGCAGTTGTCATAGATACTGAAGCTAAACAAGTATGGTGATAGTATTAAGGAAGGAGGTGGAGCGATCCACGGATCTCCTCTAGTATAACTTATGAAAATGAGGGGAAAATCGTCTAATTAGTTATTTTGAGTTGAGTTAGAGGAGAAGTGGCCAAGTGGGGAACCGCGGATATCCATTGGAGCACAATCCCCATTCTTAAGCAACAGGTTGTTAGCTGTTCATGTATATTTTTTTGGTTTGTTTAGGAAGTATTTGCAGGCTTTTCCTAAAGAACGGGTGTATTGCAATGTCATTTAAGAATAGGGAGCAAATCAGGTCTTCCAAAGTTTATTTGGATGGATATCTTTGGGTAGAATATT